CCTCCCAGGTTCCAGTGATTCCGCCTCCCAGGTTCCAGTGATTCTCCTGCCTCAGCCTCCAGAGTAGCTGAGACTACAGGTACATGCCACTACGCCTGGCTACTTTTTTTTTTTTTTTGTATTTTCAGTAGAGATGGGGTTTCACTGTGTTAGCCAGGGTGGTCTCAATCTCCTGACCTCGTGATCCACCTGTCTTGGCCTCCCAAAGTGCTGGGATTACAGGCATGAACCACCGCACCCAGCCAAGCAATTCAATTTCGACAACATATGTTTTAACAGCTTAAGCCAGGGGTTCCAACCCTGGGCTGTGGACTGGTACTGAAATGTGTGCCTGTTCAGAACCAGGCCACACAGCAGGAGGTGAACAGCAGGCAAATGAGCATTACCACCTGAAGTCTGCCTCCTGTCAGATCAGCCACAGCACTGGATTTTCGTAGGAGCACAAACACTATTGTGAACTGCGCATGCAAGGGATCTACATTGCATGCGCCTTATGAGAATCTAACTCATCCTTGATGATCTGAGTGCAAGTTTCATCCTGAAACCATCCCCTACCCCACCCTGGGTCTGTGGAAAATTGTCTTCCATGAAACTGGTCCCTGGTACCAAACAGGTTGGGGACGGCTGGTTTAAGGGACAGAAAGACCTGATGCCATGCTATGATTCCAAGAATGTTTTATTGCTATGACAGCTCATCAATATACAAACATATTTCTTTCAAACAACAGAATAATAAATAACTTGATTTCCAGTGCTGGCAGTTACCCAGGACACAATCATAGGCATCCTTGAGGCAATTTTCTGGTTAGTAGCTGTGCACTGTAACTGCAGTATGTAATACTTTTTGAAGTGAGTACTGCTATAAAATTAACCTCTGGTCATAGGCTGAGTCCAAAAGGACCACAAAAGGGAAAATTAGTCTCAGCCAATCATAAAACTTCAACCAAGTTAAATCCCTGAGTAACTGTGTAGAAGTGAGTAACATAACCAAATCCAGACTGTTAAAAAGCTGAAGATGGTTCTGGTGTAGGCAAACAATAGCTTATTGCCTCCCACCAATTCATGACAGAGTAATTTTGTAAACCATCACAGCTGTAGAGAATATGTTGTTTACCAAGTGTCAACATATCCAAAGCACTTTACTTACTTTGTTCCTCACAATGACCCTTTGAGGAAGTTTCTATTGTTAACGGTTTTGTGAGTATGAAGAAACAAGCCCTGAGAGGTTCAGGCCCACAGTCACACAGGTAACGTGTGGATCGCAGAGCTACCTGCTGGCCCCATCACTGGCAAGGCACAGTGCAGCCGTCCACCACTAGAAATGCAAATGCCGAGGTCCCTCAGCCACACGGCACTGGGTGCACACACTCATACTTATGTGGCTGTCTCATTAAAGATACCAGGGTTAGGAACAAAGGGGAAAGTCTGTTCGGGGCTGCTTTTCACTGAGTAGAATAAAATGAGTACTGTTTAAAAATTCAGAGCTGTTTAAAAATTCAGGCCTAAGCTGTTAACAATTATGTGTCTGATGTATGCATTTCTATGTGACTAATGTTTCTGTTAGACTCACTGGCTGGCACTGTGTTAGCAGCAAACTTCAGAAAAATATTGTCTTTACTTAAGAGAAAATTTGGTAACATTGGTCACAATAATCTACATACACTAGGAGAGTAGGAAAAATGTACCTAGTTTAATACTTTAGGGTTAATATATTTAACAAGCTATAAAGTGGCTAGAGTGACATTTAATGGAAGTCACAATATTTATCACACTAAATGTGTATATTCCCTACCCACAATTATGCCTGGTCCTATCAGGGAAAATTCTGTTAACACAGAACACTCATATGCATCAGCTACCTCCTTGAGGGCGGCTGCTCTGTGCATAGCAGGCCGTTAACAGCAACCTGGGCTCTACCCACTGGGTGCCAGTAGCTCCTCCCAGCCTCTAGTAACAACCGAAAATGTCTCCACTCATAGCCAAATATCCCCTGCCAGGATATGTCATCTCTCATATTTAACTACTGGTATATCGTCAAATATATTAAACATTTTTAATGCTTTAACATTTCTATTAGAAAATTTACATCTATATTATACATTGATAGTTTTCCTTCATTTTAAATTCTCTGACATATAATGTTGGAAGTTTTGTTTGAAAGCTATGATACATTAAAAATCTTCATGAAGATTCACTTTATTCTCAGCATTCAGTGAGATGTCCCTGTGACAAGATGTTCCAAATATGTTCCAAATTGTCTCTCCCCACATTTCACTGATTTTTCCATAAACTGACTTGGGATCAAAGGTGACAACATAGGTGTGAATTTTCTGATACAGAAAAACTAGTACTTCTCTCAGAAAGCTCACAAATCAGCTACAGTGGGTTGTTTGTGTGGTAATGCAAACAGACCACATATACAATGGCTCAACAAAGCAGGAATTTCTTACTCAAATAAAGCACAGATGGAGGGTTATAGCATAGAGGTGGGAAGACTTCTGATCTCTTCAGTGAATTCTTTCTGTCCTAAATCATGGTGGACTTCTCTCGTGCGTGGCTCCCAAGGCCACCTAGGGGGTTGTCATCTGCACTTCAGTCCAAGGTGCCATGAGAAATCAGGGATGACCTTTCTCGTTGCCAGGCCTGGAAGTAATGTTCACCACTTGTGTCCATATTCTCCTGGGCAGAGCTGTTACATGAAGCCATCCATAATGATGGGAAGCTGAGAAATGCAGGCTAATTGTGTGTTGGAGAAAAGAGGATGTTTTTGTGGAAACACATAACTGGTCTCTGCCACACAGAATTTCTCCCTTCTATGAGCTATCTGAAGCTTTTGGAGGTATGATTTGTGGCAAAAGGATTTTCCACACTCAACACACTGATAATGTATTTTTCCACTGTGCTGTGATGTACTGTGAGGATTGACTTCTGGTAGAGTTTTCCTATACCTTTTACACTCAAATGGTGTCTCACCTGTGTGAGGTCTCTGATGCAGAGTCAGGACTGACTTCTGGCAGAGGGTCTTCCCCACATCCACTACATTCCTAGGGGTTCCCCACTGTGTGAGTTCTCTGATGTATAGTGAGGACTGACTTCAGGTGGGAGATTTTCCACATCCACTACATTCCTAGGGGTTCCCCACTGTGTGAGTTCTCTGATGTATAGTGAGGACTGACTTCAGATGGAATGTTTTTCCACATCCACTACATTCCTAGGGGTTCCCCACTGTGTGAGTTCTCTGATGTATAGTGAGGACTGACTTCAGGTGGGAGATTTTCCACATCCACTACATTCCTAGGGGTTCCCCACTGTGTGAGTTCTCTGATGTATAGTGAGGACTGACTTCAGATGGAATGTTTTTCCACATCCACTACATTCCTAGGGGTTCCCCACTGTGTGAGTTCTCTGATGTATAGTGAGGACTGACTTCAGGTGGGAGGTCTTCCCACATGCATTGCATTCAAAGTGCTTTTCCCCATGTGAGTTCGCTGATCTCTAGTGAGGACTGACTTTAGGCAAAATGACTTTCCACACTCATTACATTCATAGGGTTTTTATCCTGTGTGAGTTCTCTGACGTATAGTGAGTTCTGACTTTTTGTAGAATGTTTTCCTACATTCACAGGGTTTTCCCCCCTGGGTGAGCTCTCTGATGTACAGTGGGGGCTGACTTCTAGGATAAAGTTTTCTTACATTCTTTACATTCGTGTGGTTTCCCTCCAGAGTGAATTTTCTGATGTACTGTGGGGACTGGCCTCTGTGAGAAAGTTTTTCTACATTCTTTACATTCATAGGGTTTCTCACCTGTGTGAGTTTTTTGATGAATCATTAGGTTTGACTTATGGAAAAAGTTTTTCCACACTCATTGCATTCATAGGGCCCCCCGTCTGCCCCATGTGTTCTCTGATATACAGTAAGAACTGACTTCCAGTGAAATAAGTTCCCACATTCTTTACACGCATAGGGGTTTTCTCCTGTGTGAGTTCTCTGATGTTCAGTGTGAACTGACTTCCAGTGAAGTAAGTTCCCACATTCTTTACATGCGTAGGGGTTTTCTCCTGTGTGAGTTCTCTGATGTACAGTGAGGACTGAATTGCAGTGAAACAGTTTCCCACATTCCTTCTATCCACAGGGTTTTTCTGCTGTGTGAGTCCTCTGATATGTAGTAGTGAGTTTTGACTTTGGGTAGAAAGTTTTCCTACATTCTTTACATTCATATGGTTTCTCACCTGTGTAAGTACCCTGATATATCCTGAGGTTTGACTTCTTGCTAACGGTTTTCCCACACTAATTACATTCACAGGGGTTTTCCCCTGTGAGAGTTCTCTGATGTACGTTGACGGCTGACTTCTCACAGAAGGTTTTACCACATTTGTTACATTCACAGGGTTTCTCTCTTGTGTGAATTCTGTGATGGATCATAGGGTGTGACTTCTGGCAAAGGGATTTCCCACATTAATTACATCCATAGAGCTTTTCCCCTGTGTGAATTCTCTCATGGATTTCAAGGCCTGACTTATGGCCGAAGGATTTCTCACACTGGCTGCATGCACATTTTTTCCGCCTCTATGTGTCCTCTGATGTACTATAAGATGTGATTTTCTAACTAGGATTTTCTCACATTCATAGAATTTTTGTCCTGTGTTTGCTGATGTTTAGGGAGGTTAGATATTTTACAGCCAGTTTTGCTCCCAACCTGAATTTTCTGTTAGACAACAAGAGCTGACTTATCACAGGCTTTCCCAAATTCACCATCCTTACAGAAGGTCTCTCCAATATAAACCCTCTTATGATTACTCCCTCTGTGTTGAAGGTCTTCCTGCGTCCACCATATTCAAAACACTGCAGCCTAGTTTGAAACTTGTGGTGCTCATCAAGATACTCATGATGTCTGTGAGACTTCTCAGTTATATTACAGGCATCGTTTCTCTCCAGCCTGCATCTCATCAGGCTCACTAGGGAGAAGCATGTTTTTAGATAAATCAAACTCCTAATGCCTCCTTCCTAAATAGTTTCCATTATTTATAATCAAATTTAAAATATCCTTTGAGTTCAAATTAAATGTTTTTTCTAGTTCAACTCTCTCCTTTGTTGATGTAATGCTGTTGCTGATGACGATGTGCCAAAGCATCCACTGTGACTTTCTTGGCTCCTCTCAATTAGGTCATTAACTATCTGAACATCTGAAATGAGAAAAAAAAAAAAAAAAAAAAAAAAAACATATCCATGAACCACACATTAACCATTTCTTATGGGATTCTCATGTAAGGAAAAAGAAGTTATTTCCTATCCCACTGGTTTTGGTAGTGGTTTTATAAGCATATGGTTTTCCTTACTACTGACTTAATGTAATGAATCACAGGAATATATTTTCCAATGTTACACTGCATTTTCCTTTTCTTTTTAACTCATGAAGAAATATTTGCTAATTATGCTCCCCTCCTGCCTAGCGGTAGTTGTTACCTAAGTGCTTTTCATCTGCCATTTGTTTTCTCACTTCTTTTTATTTTATTCTGAAAACAACAGTGGGTGTCTCATGCTAGCATATCTCATTCTTCTGCTTTGATGATGGCAACATTTCCCTGGATCAGCTACTTGCAGGTACAGGGGAAGGTCATTTGTCTGTATCCTATGACTTAGGGACAGGATTTTCCATCTACGTTTTAGTTTTCACTCTTTCCTGGGAATGGCTGTAGGCATTTGGGGGTTTTTCAAATATAAATCACTTATTCCCTATGCTAAAGACACATCCCTGCAACTAAGTAATGTAACTACCTTCCTCTGCTTCTCAGAACCATAACAGGTACAGAAAGCTCCAGTCTACTACCCTGGGCACCCCTTTCTTACTACTATACAGGTTTTGGTTCTGCAGCCTAGGCTGTGCCCATATTAAAAAATGTACTTCTGGCTCCTTGTGATACAAATTTCCCTGACATTCTTTCTCCATTCCTAGTCCACACACCACTGCTTGATAATTCACTGCTTCTGAAGGCTTTTATTTTGTGTGCTGAAATTTGAGTTCTTAGTTTCACAGAAAATGTGTCTCCCATACATTTCATACTCTTTTTGTTGTATCAGAATGATTTCTAGTAATACAACAGGAAAATGCTAACTTCAAACCCTACTCCCAAACAGAAATCCGAGCTCTTCAACATGAAAGCCTTGATTCCCTTGTCCTTGGCACCCGGAATCTCCTGATTCTCCACCCAAGTCAAGGACCACTCCTTTGTGTGCCTCTATGCTGGGTCCTCCTCAGTTTCATGACTTCCGATGGTGTAGTACACAAGGTTCACTCCTAGACGTCTCATTTTCCTATCAACTCCCTCAATGGCTTTCTTTATAAGTATTATGTTAAATACCAGCCTTAAGCTACTCATTTCCAAATTTCTGTCTCTAATAGTAATGTCCACTCTTGAAACTATATGTTATATTCACCTATTATATGTCAAAATTGAAAATGAGTTAACTCAAACTGTATCTATGCTCCAGGAAACAATAATCACTCTGAAACTGCCTTCTCTGATGATTCTTCCTAAATTATCACATCCTATTACTCTTGCTCTTTCTCACTCTTGTTAAGTATTTCTCATGCTTCTTAAACTACCCAATTATATCATTGCTTCTTTCTCATCAGAACAGAAACTCCGTGGAAAAGGAGCATTATTTTGATCACAGTTATAACTACAAAATTGCCAATATTTAAAACCTGCTGAATTAAGATGTGTTGAAAGAATAAACTGATGTATGAATACATGTCTGAAAAAAGACTCATCCCTGCAAATAGAGGAAAGGAGGGCAACTGAGAATATTAAGAAAATAAAAAGCAAAGGAAAATGTCTAAGAATAGGGAGGCAGAAATTAGGTTTTGAACAAAGAGACTATTCAGCAAAACAAAAGGCTGGGTTCTATGTATGAGAGGTATTCTTAGGGGTCTATGTAATGCATGTGTTTGGTGCATGCAGACTAACTGTTCTCAGGTCTAGGACCTGGGTAGAAATTGGTGAAAACAAATTGGCATCTGCTGGGCTTTACTGGTCCAGGTGTCCCTGTCCAGCACGTGCTGACTGACCTGCAAGGCTCTGATCTGGGACTTCTTCTCCCCTCTGTGGCTCTGTTCCTTGCTCCAACTTGAAGATCACTTCAGGTTTGGTAATGCAATGCCCTTTTAATTGGAAATAATGTAAGACTTTGTCAAAATGCTAAGTCAGGTCCTTTGAAGAATGACAACAGCTTGGCTTCAGCAGCTGTGCAATGAAGGAGCCAATTTTAACCTTTCATTGGACAGGGGTGACACTCACATTCTTCATGGACTGGAATCTTATATCTAAATAGTAGTAAACTTATACAGGTTCCTATATTTATCTAGAAGCAATAAAGTATTGCTCCTTGGAGGTACTGGCAAGTTTCACTCACTCGATGATATGAGGATGCTATAGGTCTCCAGCATCATGTCTCTGTACAGGGTCCTCTGAGCATTGTCCAGATGCTGCCACTCCTCCTAGGTAAAGTCCACAGCCATATCCTGAAAGGACACCAACCCCTACAATGGCACATTTCTTGAGTCATTGGCCCTGGGTCACACAGGTATCTGGGAATTTGCCCTTCTCTCTGTGTGTATCTTGCATGCAGTTATGCTCACTGACAGCCCCCACCAGACACCCACTGCCAGCTACCAGTGAGCTGCCATGCACACCAACCCAGCTGTGCTTTTAGAGGACCCATCATAGCTGCTGCCTTACTGCACCAGTGGGTGAGACAAGCCAGCCTGCTGAGACTCCCTAAACCAAAGAAACAGAAGTACTAGTAAAATGTTTGAAACTGCTATGTTTCAGGGGTGGTTTTAAAAGCAGATTAGATAACAGGAACAGAATTTGGCAGCTGGAATGGGGTGCTGTGTTAATAAGAAGCTACGACATGCAGCACTGGACCTAAGACTGAGCAGAAGTTGGGCCTCAAGAAGACTGTTCATGGAAGTTGGAAGGGTGTCAAGACTCTTGGTGAGGGTTGAAGTACAGTGAGAAAAATCACACTGGAAACTGAAGAAAAAGGCATGTGGGTTACAAACTGGAGGACTGTGGGCAGCATGGCTGCCTGCCGTGACGTAAAAAATTAAAAGGGAATCTCACCATGTTGGGGTCGGCCTAAGGAGATGAATGGAAAGAATGTGGAAAGAGCTACCTGGTCTCCTCCCTCTGCCTTTGAGAAAATATAAGAGGATAGAGATGATCTAAAAAAGGAAATTCAATGGTCAAACAGAACTTAGGGGAAATGAGCCAGGACTTGTGGGGTTTGAAATAATAATGTTTCTCATCCTCGATTTTTCCCACCAAAACATTTTAAGGTAAGAAATGACTTTATGGCAAAGATAAAACCCAGTGTTTTTGTAAAAAGGTGAAAAGTCAAAAATATTTTCAGCATTTTAAGGACCTTAGGGTATGACAAGAGTGTTCCTGGTAACAACAGGGCTTCTGAGGCTGTATTCCCACAGTGGCCTCAGAGAGAGGGGGAGACTAGAGACGGAAACTCCTGTCTTGGAGTGAGTGTGTGTGTGTGTGTGTGTGTGTGTGGGGTCGGGGAGGGTTATTTTGGTCTAATGGATTTTGGTCCACAGGAAGCTTGTCTTTTTCAAAGACGTGTACACGGAATAATTTTTTGTACCCAAAGTCCAGAGTTAGAAGAAAATGAAAAGGGGGTCACTGGATTTCCAAATTATAGTAAACAAAAAATAGGTGGAGAAAATTGGTCAACTGCAAACCCAGGAATTAAGGAAAAAGAACATGGAGAATGGTGAGAGCCCAGAGGGCAGAGTGAACAGGCACGAAGCATGTTAGGACTGGGTCCTAGTCAATGAACTGGAGCAGATGGAAGGGAAGCGCCCACCATGTTCTTGCTCTGTACTGGCTGGCTGTGGGGTGGCAGAAGACGGGCCACCAGTACCTAATGTGGATAAGCTTTCAGCCAGTTCCATAGTAGGAAAAGATTTCTGGGGCTCTTCAGAGGGGCACACAAGGGGCATAGTATATTTTGCATGTGGAAGAAATGTAAATAACTTGTAGCCAGAAGGCAAAGTAGTTTATTAAAGACTGTTGCAAATCTTACTATTCCTCTTATGGTAACTGAAATCAAATTGCCCGGCACTTGAACTGGACTGCCCTTTGTGATGAGCCTAGGAGAATGCGTTGGTAGAGATGTTTTGGGAATTCTGAGGGGAGATCGTGAAAAGCCTCTCAGCCTCTGCCTGGGCCTCTTGCATACCTGCTCTGGGAGATGCCAGATAAACCTAGCTACCCTGAGATTGCTGGACTGGGAGGAGGTCCAGTCTGGCCACAAGGAGAGGCCTGGGTGCCTCCTCAATGTCCGCAGACATAGCTGTCCTTCCAGCTGAGATCAGAGACCACATGAAGCAGACTACACTGCCCTGGTGCAGACCAGAGACTTCAGGAAGCAGCCAACCCACACGGCCTTGTTCAGATCCTGACCCACAACATTCTCATATGTAATAAGAAAAATTTCGTGTTGAGCCAGTGTTTTGTAGTACTTTGTTACACAGCAGATAACTGGAACACTGAAAAAATTATTTGAGACCATAGGCAGCACTTTGGTTTGAAACATAGGGTGCATTGGTTTGAAAAATAGGGTGTGTGAATATGAGCTTCAACAGAAATGAATAAAGCACATTTCACTTTTTATGTTAGAACTCTAGCGTGTAATCATGAATTTAAAATGTTCAGTATTAGATTGAGTATAATCTTTAAAAAAGAAAACATGACAGGTATTTTCAACTACAAACCTACAATTGTATATTAAGAAAACTAGATAGAATCACTGAGATAAATTTATATAAGGAAAAGGTATAAATTATGAAAATCTGGGGTGCATTTTATTCTTTGCATATCTTTGTGCGGACCCTTGTCCAAATGCATCCCAGTAACTTCTGAATGGTTTTCCCAGTGTAATCTGAAGGATGTCACATGTGCTGGGTAAAAGCAAGGTTCACCAGGGACTGAACCTCATCACCCAGAAAACACACCCTTAAGGTTTTGCCAAGAATCACATTTCAGATGTAACAAACTTACTGATGGTTGTGAGCACCAAATCACAAACCAGCTCTTCCCCCTAAACTGGCACTGTAAACAGACATTAGAATAAAATACAAAGAACAAATAAACATAAGTAGCAGGAGTTGACACTAGATGAGGTAAGACCTAAGAGAGAGGATTCCAGGAGGAATAGGGATTTGGGTCACTGGCTGTAAGGTCATAATACCACAGATAAGGGAATAATGGAGGTGGTTTTCATGTTGGATTTGTTGGTCTTGAGGTGTCTTCTGGATAGCTACAAAGAAGCATTTAATAGGGAGTTGACCGTGTGCTCTAAAGGCTGGGGAAGACATCAAAGCTGGAGAGAAACAGGACTGCCAAATCACAGAGGGCTGAGTCAGACTGGAGAACTGTAGAATGGGATGGGTGGGAAATCAGATAGTACACTTGTATGAGGTACATTAAGGAGAAGAAAGTAGAAGAATTCAGGGAAAAAGAGAAGAAACTATCAGTGAGCCCATGATAGAAACGAACACAGAAGAATTTCCAGCAGATCATGAACAGTGGTTTCAAATATGGCAAAAGTTTCAAGTTAGGCAAAGACTAGATAATAGTCATTGCATTTTACTATAATTTAGGTTATTGGTGAGTTTTAGAAAAAATGAATTAAGACTACATTGTGCTGGGAATATGTGCCAGAAACAAAGAACTTTGACCAGTCTGCTGCATACTTCGTATATATAGAAGAACTGAGAGAAAGGTATGGATAATTATTTAAGGATCTGTGCTTGACTCAGTTCCCCAGATGTTCCAGGTTTTACTTATGAATGAAGTTTGACCTTCCAAACCTGTCTAGGACAACATATTTTAGTAACTCCAGAAATACCTTATTCAGGGAACCATTTCCACTGCAGAATGTGAAAAGCGTTTACCTTCCAGGTTGGTAGTGAGAAACTTTCCACAACATCATCTACGTGACTAATGAAGTCAGTATTTCAGACTTTGGTGCCAGCAAGTCTTCATGTCTCATGAGAATGTAGCATGGTCTCTTCTTAGGTTCCATTCCAATCATGCAACAAACGTGACTGCCTTTTTACCATGGCATCATAAAAATCAGAGACAGATTTGTACTCAATTTAGACAAAAACTCTAAGGTCTTCACAATCTGCCCATGTTTATAGGTTATTTTTATCTTATTTATTATGTCCATTTCCCTTAAGTTTTGCTTTACATTTTTCTACTTTTCCACTGAAATTCATAACACAATGTAAAAGAAAGTGAGGGATAAATAAAAAAAACCTCCACTCACTGGGTGTTTAATTTTTCGTTGCTCTTGAAAACACATAGTAGACATGTTGGGAACAGGCCCCCCAAAATCTGGCCATAAACTGATCCCAAAACTGTCCATAAACAAAATCTCTGCAGCACTGTGACATGTTCATGATGGCCATGACACCCATGCTGGAAGGTTGTGGGTTTACTGGAATGAGGGCAAGGAACACCTGGCCTACTTAGGGTGGAAAGCCGCTTGAAGGTGTTCTTTTTTTTTTTATGGGAAAATGATTTATTTTCATTAAAATGAGATATGAGATATGATACGTTCTAAATAACAAAATACAATTTCAGTAGTAAAATGTAAATCCTACACACGCACACTCCACTGTGGTTCTTTCGGATAAAGTCTTTGATAGTTGGTGTTCAGTTTTCAAAAATAAGATGATTTTTTTCATTAATATTTGGTATAAAATAGCTGTTTCCTTTCAAAGGAGAGGGCATTCATCATTTCTGCTCGTTATTTCTGCCATATAAGCAGATCCTAATAACCTATTTTTCTCCTCCCGTGAAAATCTGTCTCTCAATGTATTCACCTGCTCCTTCTGATCCATGGTCAGGTAGTACAGCAATCCTTTCTAATAACCCAAAGTGTTTAAACCACAAACAATAGCATGAGTGATCTGTGCCCTAAGAACATGCTCTTGCTGCAGATAACTAGCCAAACCCATCCCTTTATTTCCGCCCATCCCTTTGTTTCCTTTAATGAATACTTTTAGTTAATCTATAATCTATAGAAACAAAGCTTATCACTGGCGTGCTGTCAATAAATATGTGGGTAAATCCGTGTTCGAGGCTCTCAGCTCTGAAGGCTGTGAGACCCCTGATTTCCAACACCACACCTCTGTATCTCTCTGTGTGTGTCTTTAATTCCTCTAGCGCTGCTACGCTAGGGTCTTCCCAACTGAGCTGGTCTCAGCAAGTGGTGCCCATATGTGGGGGCTCGAATCCAGGTTGAAGGAGTGCCAGAGTGACAGTTGGAGAATGTGGAACTAAGCTGGAGGACACCTGAGTACTCTTAAGCAATCCCCATGGTGAGAAAGAAGGGGAGCTCGGAAGCATCAGGGTAACAATGGGACAATTGTGGGTTCTGGTTCATTCCACCTTGTAACCTTTTCACACTAATGATGAGGAGGAAGGAGACTATAATGAAGTAACAGAAGAGGTTACAGAGCAGGTTTGTTTGCCAGCTAAAGCTAAAGTGGCAAAGGAGGGAGAGGTTCAGCCCTACCCTTCTGCACCCCCTCATTATTATTTTGAAGACCGAGTGGCCTGACCCTCCAGATCTTTCTTTTCTGGAGGACACGGGGTGAAAAGTAGTTGCCCCAGTGACTGTTAGAGCAGCGCCTTGAGTGACCACTCTCAGTTCTATTCAGGCAGGAATTCAGCAAGCTAGATGAGAGGGTAAATTAGAGGCTTGGCAGTTCCCTGTTAGAATACAACCCCCAGATAAACAGGGAAATATTATAGCTACATCTGAGCCTTTTCCTTTTAAATTACTCAAAGAATTTAAGCTATTAATCAGTATGGACGAGGTTCTCCTTTTGTAATGGGACTGTTAAAGAATGTTGCTGTTTCCAGTCAGATGATTTCTACTGACTGAGATGCTCTTCCTTGAGCTTGTCTAACTCCTGCTCAGTACTTAAAATTTAAAATTTGGTGGGCAGATGAAGCTTCCATTCAGGCTGCTCACAATGCCCAGGCCCAACCTCAAATTAATATAACTGCAGACCAACTTTTGGGGGTTGGCGGCTGGGCTGGTTTAGATGTACAAGTGGTCATGCAGGATGATGCCTAGAACAGCGTAGAAGAGTGTGTATTAGAGCTTGGGGAAAAAAAAATCACTTCAGGTGGAGAACAACACCCTTCCTTTAGTGCTATAAAACAGGGACCAAAAGAACCATATGTAGATTTTATAGCTCGGTTACAGGAGTCTCTTAAAAAGATGATTGCAGATTTGGCTGCTTAGGATATAGTGTTGTGGTTATTAGCTTTTGACAATGCTAATCCCAATTGCCAGGCTGCTTTGCAACGTATTAGAGGGAAAGCACATTTACTTGATTATATCAAGGCCTGTGACGGTATTGGAGGTAATCTGCATAAAGCTACTTTGTTGGCACAGGCAATGGCAGGACTGAGAGTGGATAAAGGAGCTTGTTTTAACTGTGGGAAGCATGGTCATACTAAAAAAGAATGTAGAAAAAAATCAGCGAGTCAGGCTGCCAGATAGGGGAAAAAAGAAAGCTGCTGAGCTGGAAATATGTCCAAAATGCAGAAAAGAAAACCATTGGGCTAATCAGTGTCACTCTAAGTTTGATAAAGAAGGGAACCCGATTTTGGGAAACGCCATGAGAGGCCCATCCTGGGCCCCATTCCAAACAGGGACATTTCTGGCTCAGGCCATTCCCTCACCCCTCTACAGTGTCTGTCCCCCGCCACAGTCGGTAGTGCCGCAGTAGATTTATGCTGCACAAAAGCTGTGAGCCTTCTGCCTGGGGAACCCCCACCAAAGGTCCCAACAGGAGTCTGTGGAACCTTGCCAGCAGCGACAATAGGATTACTTCTAGGTAGGTCTAGTTTAAATTTAAAAGGGGTACAAATACATACAGGAGTCATTGATTCAGATTACAATGGGGAAATTCAAATTATTATATCTACCTCAGTTCCTGGGAAAGCAGAGCCAGGAGAGCGCATAGCACAGCTCCTGATTGTGCCGTATGTGGGAATGGGGAAAAGTGAAATTAAACAAACAGGAGGATTTGGAAGCACAAATAAACAAGGTAAATCAAATTACTGACAAATGTCCTACCTGTGAAATAACTATTCAGGGAAAGAAATTTAAAGGTTTGGTAGATACAGGAGTGGACATTTCAGTCATTTCTCTACAGCACTGGCCATTCACGTGGCCAGTTCATCCTGCTCAATTTAAAATAGTTGGAGTGGTAAAGCCCCTGAAGTATATCAAAGTAGTTATATTTTACATTGTGAAGGGCCCAGTGGACAACCTGGGACTATTCAACCAATTATAACTTCTGTACTTATAAATGTATGGGGGAGAGATTTATTACAACAATGGGGAGCACAAGTTCTAATTCCAGAATAATTATATAGCCCTCAAAATCAACATATGATGCATGAAATGGGGGTAAGTCCCTGGTATGGGACTAGAAAAAACTTTGCAAGGTTTGAAAGAACCGCTTCAAGCGGAAAGACAAATTTCCCACCAAAGATTAGGATATCATTTTTGATGGCGGCCATTGTTAAGCCTCCAGAACCTATACCTTTAAAGTGGTTAACAGGTAAGCCAATTTGGATAGAACAATGACTGCTAAGTAAAGAGAAACTGGAGGCTTTAGGGGAATTAGTTACTGAACAATTTGAAAATGGGCACATAGCTCCAACATTTTCTCCTTGGAATTCTCCAGTTTTCATAATTAAGAAAAAATCAGGTAAATGGAGAACATTAACTGACCTAAGAGTCATCAATTCAGTTATACAAACTATGGAAGCATTAAAGCCAGGATTGCCTTCTCCTGCTATAATTCCAAAAAGTTGGCCTTTAATAGTCATAGATTTAAAAGACTGTTTCTTTACTATCTCCTTAGCTGAGCAAGACTGTGAACGGTTTGCATTTACAATTCCTGCAGTAAACAACCTGCAGCCTGCTAAGCGTTTTCACTGGAAAGTATTGCCTGCCACAAGGCATGTTAAACAGTCCAACAATTTGCCAGATGTATGTAGGGCAAGCAATTGAACCTACTCGTAAAAAATTTTCAGTGTTACTTTATTCATTATATGGATGATATACTTTGTGCTGCCTCCACTCGAAAAATATTACTCCAATGTTATGATCACTTGCAAAATTTGATTTCTCGTGCTGGTTTAACTATAGCTCCTGACAAATTCAGCCTACTACTCCTTACTCCTACTTGGGGACCTTAGTAAATGACACTACCATTGTGCCACAGAAAATAGCTGTATGTAGGGATCAATTGAAAACATTAAATGACTTCAAAAAAATTACTAGGGGACATAATTGGATACAACCTGCTCTAGGCATTCCTACCTATGTCATGAGTAATCTGTTTTCTATCCTTAGAGGAAATCCTAGTCTCACTAGCCCTCAGCAATTAACAAAGGAGGCTGAGGCAGAGTTATAGCTAATTGAAAAGCAAGTCCATAAAGCTCAAATAAATAGAATAGATCCAGAGAAGGCTCTAGATTCACTAATTTTTTCAACTCAGCATTCACCTACTGGTGTTATTGTCCAAGAACAGGACTTAGTACAGTGGCTTTTTCTTCCACATACTAATTCACAGACTCTAACTCCTTATTTAGATCAAATTGCTACTATGATAGGAAATGGGAGAACTCAGATTGTTAAATTAGATGGATATGATCCTGGAAAAATTATTGTCCCTCTCATGAAGGCACAAATACAGCAAGCTTTCAGAAATAGTCTTACTTGGCAAACCCATTTAGCTGACTTTGTGGGTACTCTTGATAATTATTTTCCTAAAATGAAACTGTTTCAATTTTTGAAATTAACTAATTGGATTCTCCCTAAAATAACTAAATTTAAACCAATTGAAGGTGCTGAGAATGTTTTTACAGTTGGGTCTAGTAATGATAAAGCTTCTTATTCTGGCTCGAAAAGTAAAGTTTTCCAGACGCCCTATACTTCAGCTCAAAAAGTGGAGCCTGTAGCTGTAATTGAGGTATTGACTGCTTTTGATATGCCTATTAATGTGATTTCTGATTCTTCATACATGGTTCATTCCACACAGTTAATTGAAAGTGCTCAGTTACAATTTCATACAGATGAACAACTGATGACTTTATTTACCCAATTGCAAACAGCAGTTAGGAGTAGAACGCACCCTTTTTACATCACTCACATTAGGGCTCATACACCTCTTCCAGGACCTTTGACTGAAGGGAATCAAATGGCTGATCACCTAGTTGCTAATGCAATATCTAATGCTAGACATTTTCACAATTTAACCCATGTGAATGCCTCTGGTCTCAAACGCAGATACAGCATTACCTGGAAAGAAGCTAAAGCTATTATCCAGCAATGTCCAACTTGTCAAATGGTACATTCCCCATCTTTTACAGGAGGAGTTAATCCTCAAGCATTGGAACCTAATTCTCTTTGGCAAATGGATGTCACACATCTTCCCTCATTTGGGAGACTAGTGTGGACACTTTTTCTCATTTTGGGCTACATGTCAATCAGGAGAGTCTTCTACCTGTGTTAAACGTCACCTTTTGCAGTGTTTTGTGGTGATGGGCATTCCAGCATCTATTAAAACAGATAATGCCCCAGGCTATACTAGCCAAGCTCTAGCTACATTTTTCTCTATGTGGAATACTAAACACGTTACTGGTGTCCCATACAATTCTCAAGGACAAGCCACAGTGGAAAGAATGAATCTCTCCCTGAAACAGCAGTTGCAAAAGCAGAGGGGGGTGTGGGGGTGGGGGAGGAATAGAGAATATGGAACACTGCAGATGCAACTGAATCTAGTATTATTAACTTTAAATTTTTTGAGCTGGCCCAAAGGTCAGATGTATCAGCAGCTGAACAGCATCTACAGAAACCAGCTGCAAAGACAGAAGCAGAACAACTGGTTTGGTGGAGAGATCCAATAACAAAAAGTTGGGAAATAGGTAAAATAATAACTTGGGGTAGAGGTTATGCTTGTGTTTCTCTGGGACAAAATCAACAGCCGATTTGATACCATCAAGACACCTGAAACCTTATCGTGAGCCAGATGCCAAGGAAGAGATTCCGGGAGGAACCCAAGGACCCCCCTGGTTGCAGCCGTGTTGAGGCTGATGCTGAGGAAGACCCCAGCTATCATGAGCAACACCTGTCGAACACAGCCACCCACCCTGGGGACAGATTTCAAGAAGCTGTCACAGATGGCAGAAGGAAAACCTGGAGTGAAAGCAGGAAAACCAGTTCCCAATGCAGTAATTTAATGGTAGCTCCATGATATGTAGGTGATCACCATTGCATGAGTATTCCTTCAACAAGGGCTGAAA